TATTTTTCTTAGATAAATCATGTGGATTTCAATACCTTGGTTCTGATTCTCTGCAAAATAAAGGACATAAGCACGATGACATTTAAGATTTCTTTAAAAACATTAATACTTCTSCTTGTAAGTGAATGGACTTCTGAGCTTTTGGTATACTATGAATCCTATGACCTCTCCCCCATCCCAAAGATTGCTGAGAACTATTTTATATAGGTTAGTGGAAAGTCATAAATTAAAACTGTGTTTCAGATTTTTTTGGTTTATCCTGATTCATTAAGAACAATTTTACTTAGCTTACAGAGAGGTTATACATTTAAGAATACGTTTTTAATTGTGGTTATGCCCATGACCACCATTTAATTACAGGTTTATTAATTGGGAAATGAGCTCATAATGGATCTTGCTGTTCTAGTCGATTCCTTAAAACATGAATATATTTCTTTCACAATGTCTATTTAAGTCAAGGAAATACCATGCTTTATAGCTAGATCCACACATATGTAATGGTTTAATGGTTACTCGTTTTAACTAAGTTTGTTCATTTATCATGTAATTTCATGGTGATCATTTCACTTAAAATTTTAAATATAATTCTCAAAGCRATAATCGTGGTTGATGCAGTGCAAAATAAAGTGTTGGACACAAAATCCAGAAATAACCAAAAGAAGATAACATACTGTATTCATTTCATAGCAGCTATTTGCCCCATAATATTTGTGGTTTTTAAATGTGCATTTGATTATTTTGCAAGTTGAATAGCGGGGACTGTATTCTTTTAGTTTGAAGAAGTTTGGTAACAATATTAAATGTCATATTTTCAATTCAATTTTTGTCTCTATAAAACTACCAAAAGGCAACTCATTTTAAACTAATTGGTCATTAGCTCCTTTAATCTGTCATATTTTTGTCCCCATATGTAACGATTTTGTTCACCAAGGTTTCAGTTCCTAAGGATCAGGTGTCTCCACCCAGAAAGTCATTATTCTAGAAGTCCCTACATGGTAACAGGAGTGGTGGCCATGGACACTACCCTGGTTCATCCTGCACCAGCTGACATATTTATGAGGAATAAGTCAACCACAAACCTACCAACTGCCCTTGTAATTATAATAGGAAAACCCCATATGTTCCTTGAGGCCCAAATCTTCCAGCACATAGGTCAATTTCTGATGGTTATGCATGAAACATGCAGTGTCTCCTCTTAATGGGGTGTTTCCTCCATCTTGGAAGGTCCGTTTTCATAAACGTTTGGAATTGGTACCTTGAAAATGTAAGTGCTGAAGCTCTCAGCTTAGTTTAACAGCCACTAAAGAGGAGCTTCTGAGTTCAAACTGGGATCTTTGTTTCTGCCAACTGATCAAATGCAATTACGTTAGTGACTTCAGGTCTAAACAGATGTCAACATATGTGTCCAACACCAATAGGACACCGCTAGCACTGAGGGCTCAGCCAGGTGGTAGTGCTTGGCTTGTCTTTTAAAGAATGGAATGCATTTTTTTTTAAAATTTTTTTTTAATATTTATTTTTTAGTTCTCGGCGGACACAACATCTTTGTTTGTATGTGGTGTGAGGATCGAACCCGGGCCGCACGCATGCCAGGCCAGCGCGCTACCGCTTGAGCCACATCCCCAGCCCTGGAATGCATTTTATAACATTCACTTTTTTGGTTCAGGAATAATATAATAGGTTGCTTAAGCTTTTCAGAATTTTTTTTTTTTAAAGAGAGAGAGAGAGAGAGAGGGAATTTTTTTAATATTTATTTTTCAGTTTTCGGTGGGGTGGACACAACATCTTTATTTTATTTTTATGTGGTGCTGAGGATCGAACCTAGCGCCCCGTGCAACTTGAGCCACATCCCCAACCCCAGCTTTCCAGAATTTTAAAGCAAACCACTAATCACCATTTTCTGCATTCTTTAAAGGGATCTAATTGGTTCAGAAAGAAAGAGGTCTTTAAAAATTATAATGCTTCAGTTTCGTTTCTGGATATCTTCTTTAAACTTTTAATGTTTGATTCCTCTCTTTTATATGATAACATTTCAAAATAAACCCCACCATGTCCTAGTCCAAACAGGGCCCAGTACTGGTTGGCCTCAGATCAAGAGAACAAGCCACACAGGCTAGGACCTGTAGATGTCAGGAGAGGTGGTAACTGCTCTGGTCCAGGGGCAGGAAGCTCAGAGAGGGSGTAGTGTGGGGAGCAAATGCCCTGGAATCAAGGGGTCAGCAGAGCGTTTTCCAGGGGTAACATAAATGCCTCTACTTGTTCATATTTCTATTAACATATTTCACCTGTTCCCTGCAAGGAATGGTGACATGTCCTAATTTGTTCTGTATTTTTAATGACTAACATGCTTATCATATGACCCATTTATAAGACAGTGAATTAATAAACACTGGCGCCATGTGCACATCAAAACAATTCAGATCCCAGAAGGGAATACTATGTGTGTTTGTGGAAATATATACATAAGGTGTGACATATATTTTTCAAATATTTGTTGTCGTATTTACTGGACACATACAAACATGAGATAGGTTTGCATTCCCCTACAGCTGACTCGCCTTCTGACTAGCTAGCTCTGTCACTTAGAGGGTTACAAGCTGTGCACCTCCATGGACTCAGCTCTCAAGTGGGAAGATGATAGTGCTTAACTCAGAGGGCTCTTGTGTGTGCTCACGTGCGTGTAAGTACATAGACACGTAACCTAAAGCAAGGTCAAATAAGTGGGTCAGCTGTTTCCTTAAATATTGACAGGTATAGTGCAATTTGTATGCACACCATTTACATGAGAAATGGGTTATACCCAATTTTATCTTGTTTATAGTCCTGAAATGCCTGATATATTTAATTAATCTCAAACTTGATTCTTATTCATTTCAATGAACTATTCTCTGAACATTCATACTGACATATACATACACTTTCACAATACCACTCACATAAATACATACTAACGTATGCTTAGCCTCTCACGTAACATTCACACAATCACACACACACACACACACACACACACACACACACACCACACACACACACGCCTACACGAGGTGGGTGTGTTGTTTTCCAAATAGGATAAGTTTTAAATTATAGATGAAAGACAATTTAGACTTTAAAAATATTATATTGAACTTCAAATTCAGAATTGACTTATGAGCTGTTCAAATCAGTTTATGTTATTCTTCATTTCTCTCTTCATTCATTTAAGGATTATGCCTACATATATGAAAATTTGCACATGTGTAACGTAAATATATTTACTGATTTCTGAAGCATACTAACAGTTTCATTCTTGGATGACCATCATACTGGACCTTTTGAAATACATGAATATGTGTGTGTGTGTGTGTGTATTTCAAAGCTCTTTCTTCATGAGTACTTGGAAAACCATCCTCATATCCCAGAAGTGATCGTTTCGATGGGATCTGGGTAGTGTGAATTCCTTTTCTCGGAGCCTCTCCCTGGCCCCACAAAGCTCCTGGGTCTGTCCTGACAGCCTGAAAACCCGGGTCTTGACTTTTCATGGAGCACTTCCCTCTATGCCAAAGACTGTACGGAGCAGTACTTCCGTCATCCACGCTGTCTTCACAAAATGTGTGGAGACRTGTACCATTGCCCTGACTGAGGTCAAAGGACGGAGCGATGAGAAATTAGATGTCCACGTTCACACATCTACAAGTGGGAAACCAGAATTTGAACACGAGGTTATCCATCCTAAGCTGCCAGGAAGCCAGCTGCGCTTGTGGTCACCATGGGTCCTTCCTGGAGGTATGGAAGGAGGCGTGGCAGCATCCTAATTGCTGAGGCTGCCCGTCACTGAACTCACAGGAGCCCCTGCTCTGATCCCAGGCCAGGTTCAAACCCTCCTAGGAGGCGGGGCTGGCCCAGAGTGATCATCACACTTAGGTTCCTGTGTGGCTGAGTTTTCTCTGTGGYTCTGCTCATCCATGTCTAGCTTGTCTTGATTTCCCTCTCCTGACTAGTCAGATTGCAGTGACACTTCTACCTGTCATCCTTCTCCCTTCTGCCATGCTCCATCCCCCTAGGAAGGGAGAATCCAAATTCCTCTGATCTCCTGTCCTAGGTCACCCTCATCACGCCTGTACCCAAGGCACCTTTCCCGGCCTAGCTGTAAGGACAGCGTTCCATCCTCCTTCTGACCTTGCTGCCTGGGTGGATGGTTCTCTTCCCTGGCTCAGTTCTGTGGTCCAACTGGGGAAGGTTTCCCTTTATGACCAGTTGGCTTTCCCCTTTCTTATCAGAACTTCAGTTTTTAGCACCTAGCTCAAAAAAACGAAACACAGGGTTTGAAGTTATAATGTAGACTTCATGAATCCTTTCCTTAAACAGTTTATCTTATGTGGAGAACACATATCGCTGGCCAGGATCTTTCACACAGGGCTGTCAATATTTGCAACCTATGCAAATGGGGGTCTGAAAGGAATGATTGCTTGATTTTTATCACCAAGAAGAAGTGCTGATAGGAGTAGAGATAGAGAGATATATGTATTTTTCATCGCCCCAAAGCTGAGGGTTGACTTTAAAGGGGAACATTTTCGTTGTTTTTTAAAACAACATGTGCACGTCTTATTTTTCCCTAGACATCAGTTGGTAATATGTACACATTTCAGGAAGAAAATTTCCACCACCTCATCTGTGTCAGGCAAGATTAATGGTTGAATGACAGATGGTCCCAAGACTTAATAGTCCTTCACTGGGGATTAAAATGACATTTGATCAGTGGGCCTTCTCTAGTGTAAGCTTCATGGTGATGATGTAAAATTAATTGCTACCAACAGGTCAAATGATCTTCGCTTGACTGTGTTTTCTATAAATATTTCACAACTTTCCCTAGGGGCCTGTTTTGCTTGGGATGCTGAACACACAGGTTCTGATTCATTCTGGAGGCCTATGGTATGGATTCTGGGTGTGTGCTTTAACTGGTATCTTGTAGACACACGGGGCCCTCATGCATTGTTTCTCTCTCTCCTCTCTCTCTGCAGGTAGAAATAACGCTTCAAGATATCAATGACAATCCACCAATATTTCCAACAGACACGCTGGATCTCACCGTGGAGGAGAACATTGGGGATGGCTCCAAGATTATGCAGCTAACAGCCATGGATGCTGATGAGGTAGCTTGGAGCAAGTCTCTGAATTTTTGCAACCCAGGATGATAGTAATTTATCAAATTCCAAGTACATATCGACAGCTTGACTACATTGTAATTAAGGTTTTGCATCGGGTGCTCCTTCCCAATGAACATTGGTTAGATCATATTTGAAATGTGATATAAGACTGTCAAGACAGAATCTATCAGGAGGTGATTTTCCTTTGATCAGCAATTCGTAACTTAGTTAATTGCTGGTTGCATTTGAGATTTCTTAGCCAGATTATTTTGCTTCTCAAAAAAAGAATGGATCTAAAARTATTCTTCATTTTTATGCCTCTGTCATTCAAATTTACTATCTGATGGCAGTTGAAGACTGATTTTTACTTTATTTGTAATTGCAAAAAAGTGAAAACTTTAACTCACAAAGTTTTAAAGATACCCTACAGTCCTGCTTAGCTTTCACATATGTGTATGTACTACATGTACATTTAAAACAAATTATATAATACGTGTTTTAAGGATATTATACAAACAAGTTAATGAATTTCAATTTCTTCAATAAGCAGAAATTTTATGTCCAGTGCTGAGTGTGAAGTTTAGGGGCACCATTTAGGTTATTATCTTCTGTACATTTTGCATTTAGCCATGTAAGTTAGCATGCTCCAAATGGCCTGGGAACTTACATAATTTGTATATACTTTTTTTTTTCCCCATAAAGTAAATGCATTGCTTGGCTGCTTCTGTTGCTGGGAAAAGGGTTTCCCTAATCTCCCAGCTGAGTGCAGTGGGATCCCTTTTCCAACACAGCAGAACCTTCATGTCCCCCACAGACACGCCTGCCCCAGGGCTGCGCCTCCTCCCTCCCCCGTGCCCCAGGGGAAGCTGACAGCTTGATTTTTAGCTGGAGTCTGCTCTTCATAAATTTATTTCTTTYACTTTAAATGAGTGACTACATTACAGACTAATGTTAGCAGCCCATAYGGATACATAATGTCCTAGTCATTTATAAATTTCTCCAAAGTCTAAATAGTAAAAGGGAAAAGAATAAAGCACAGACATTTGGATAAGTATAGTTCTCCATTAGAAAGGATTTGTGTTTACTACCTACTATTCAATTATATATGGAGAAAAGCCCACACTTCCTCCAAATCCTATCATCGAAAGAGTCATATTACTGAACATTTCTATTACTGATAGATATRTAATATCATTGCTGTGATTTAGCAAATACGTTTTCTTAAAACTTATCATTGATTAAAATATGTTTGGATATATAAATTCATAAAATTTCATCAACTTTAATTTGAAAATAGCAATAACAATAACAATAAAAAAGTTCATATAATTGACATAAGACAATCCACATGGAATAATTGTAATTATAATGGTTATTTCATTGGTTATATTTGCTGCAGAATAAGCAAATGAAACTCATTTAATTGAAGTAATTTATTCTTATCACTTCAGAAAAATGAAGCAGTAACCCTGTTAATTTTAATATGTATTTTAAAGGAATGCTATTTATTCCATAAAATACTATAAGTAAAATGGGGTTATTCAACACAATTTATACTGAATGACAAATGAAATTGTAATTCAGAACTTTAGTTGTTTTTAATCATTACACTGCTCTCTCAACTTAGGAGATGGAACATTCAGCCTTTCCAATACCAGTATCTTAGCTGTTATATTTTTATTTCTTTCCCTTTTTTTTTCCTTTCAAGAGTACAAATAAGTGTTAATAGAAGCTCAGTGCTGTGTGTTAATTTTCTTGCCTGTTAAGTGACTTCTGTGTGTGCGATCAGGTGTGCGTGCTCACTCTGCTGTCTAATTTGTCTCTTAAGATATGTTGATAGTTRGCATAAGATTTGAGGCAGTGGGACAGTTTTAGGCCTCTACCCAGTCATGATCCCACACTGGTTTTAGTTCATTTTATTTTATTTCTATTGAGAGTTGCTTTTTACATTTAAAAACGCCTTGGCATCTGGGCAGGTGTTTTCATTTAGACAACCCAGTTTGAAAGACTACTGAATGCAGAGTGATGAATCCAGGACACACAAGTCGCACATTTGGAGTGAGACAGAGTGAGGTAAGGGACAGAAAAGTGTAAGGCTATAAAGAAGGAAGGGCAAGGGTGTGCAGTGGGGCTGTCCCAAGGCCTGCAGAGCAGCAAAGCCTTCTACTGGATCTGTACATGTGTGAGTGCRTGCATGTGTCTGTACATGTGTATGCGTGAGTGTGTGAGTGTGCATGATTCGTGTATGCACATGTATGTGTGTCCGTATGTGTGTGTGCATGACTGTGTGTACGGATCATGCATGTRTGGGGTGTGTGCATGTTTCTGTACCTGTGTATGAATGAGTGTGAGTGTGCATGGGTGCATGCGTGTGTGTGTAGGAGTGTGTGTGTAGAAGGCAAGGAGAGGATGGAAGGGAACAAAGTAATGAACCTACAACTTTAAGGCATGAGGGACATTTTTGTGATATTTGGCCATTCTGGTTTTAGAGATGAAGCTCATTAGGCTGCTATCCTTCTTGAATACGTGCTCCCTTAAATTTTTAGTGGTGGTTTAGGTTTAATAAGTACTGAGTATTTTGACTTCTGACATGAGACACTGACAGTTCTTTGGCCCTTTGCCAAATAGCATGGGCACCTAGACTTACCAAGGCATTTGGAAATGTTGCCCTTTTTCTTTGTTTGAATTATTTAGAATAAACTAATATTARTGCTTTTAGACAAACCTTAATTTATTTTCTACACTCTTCTCAGCTCTTTATTTCTCAGTTGAATCTAGAATACAACAAAAAGAAGTTTTTGAAATGATTTCTCTCTTCCCCAACCATGGCTGCGTGGTTTGTTTGTTTGTTTGTTTTTATCATCTAGTTGGAACAGGACTGAACAGGAAATGAAAGGTGCTTCATTTAATTGGTGGCTAGTATTAAAATGTGACACTATCTGGTGTATTGACTTGGGATGTTTAATGGAATTCTCTCCTTTTTTCTTTTCTTTTCTTTTTTTTTTTTTTTTTTGGTGCTGCTAGGGATTAAACCAAGAACCTTGTGCATAGGAGGCAAGCACTCTACCAACTGCACTACATCCCAGCCCTTTAGTGGAATTCTTTACAACACTAAGATCATAGAGGTCATCTGCACATTATGTGTCAATATGTTTTTCGTTCTCTGTAGTCATTTCCTTAATTGCTCAACCTACCATGTGAGTGTTAATAGACTATGGAAGCTCCTGCAGGGCAGTTGAGAAAGGCTGAAGGACATGCCGGGGGGTAAAGGAATCCCAGTTTTAGAAAGCAACCTGTACATGTTGACTCTCATTTAAATATCATTTGAAAAGTGTTGGATCAAGATACACATGTTTGCAAGCATCTGACTCTGTCAGCCGCTGTTTTCCTTTTATAAACAGAATTATTATGCCCATAATGAGGCAGGATGATCAAACATGTTCTCATGGTACCCTACTTGTTTTTCAAATGCTGGTTAAGGTTGTAAAGTGCATGTGGAATTTAGAGCTATTTACCTTCAGAATTCCTTCCATGTGCTTTTGTCTCTGTGGTTTCTCCGGAGAGTAGGGTATTTTTAAACATCTTTATTTCCACTGCACTGCAGCTGAAACATGATATTTGTTTCTTGTGTTGCTGATATGGCATATTTTGGATATTCTAAAAAATAAGACTTTCAAAAGACCTAATGAAATCATTACTCTTGGCTAGACGTTTCCAGGCATGCGCTAGTACTGTTACTTCACCATGTCAGCTGATTTTGAATATGGAAAGATTGTTTTAATCAGCATGTCTGATCTTTCTTTTATTTCAAAAGAATTGTCATAAGAATATCATTTATCATTTAGTCATTTTGTACATGGGGCATTTCTAAATATCAAGCCATTTGTGTCATAGCTTTATGTGTTTTTTTTTCTTTGCTTTCCCCTAAATTCCAAGAGTGTATAAATTCAGCAGATCAGACGTGAGTGGCTGCTTCTATGCCTGCACTGTATACTGCAATGGTGCAATTCCTTGACAAATGGAACAAGGGTACAGAATGTGGTCAGATTACCAGTGTCAAATTCTTACCGAGTGTTTTTGTTAAACCATAAAATTACAATAAATATGTTATGTACTCACATACACCTGAATATACAAGATAAATGTGGGTAATGTGTTAAACTCACTTATTCCATGATTAAATTAAAATGGGCTTTGAGGCATTGACTTTATTAAATTTTAAGACCGGTTTTGGGAATGCGGCACAAAAGATCACAAATGCCGCTAAACATAAATTTTGAAAGAAGGAATATTTTTGCCTAAGGCCATTAGAAGTCTTCCCCTTATGTGCTTGACCTTGGAGTCCAGGAGAGACCTGAGTTTGAAGGTCATGGAGACTGAAGTCTTCCAGCTCAACTTCATAATCCTGAGCAACACAGTCCAAGTTTTTCCTAAAAATCTTCTTGAAAGTTCTTAATCTGAATATTTTAATAAGGAAACTTCTGGATGTTATTAATAGTAAAAGGTACATTTTTAGGTAACTCTGTTTAAGTGAAAAGTAGCTTTGAAGTCAACAACACCAACCTTAGTTACTCGGTGTCAAGATCAAGAATTACACATAAGGGGATGTCAGAAAACAGATTTTCCCCAGAATATGCAGACACTCCAACTGTATTTTGATCTAACTTGTTCATTTAGAGTATTCTAAGTCATCAAATATTTCTCTGGTAAAAAACTTAAAAATAACAACCAGCACTTTCCTGTACTTAGTGTTTCTCAAGGATTGTTCTAGAGATTTTTTATAGATACTAATTTAATCTTCACAGTGACCCTATTAGGCAGGTAATAGTACCTACCAATTGTACAGGGAGGAAACACAGGCCTGTAGAGGTCAAGTATGTGCCCGGCGGGAGGCACCTGGTAAGTAACAGGGCGAAAAGTGAGGCCCCCGAGCATCCCTCTCAACCTAAACAGCATGTACTTAACTCAATATTTTTATCATAATATGCAGAGTTTCACATATCTAGGAAGAACAACATTTCAACAATATAGAAATGTGTTTAGAAATAGATGTGAAAATACTATGGCATTAGCATCCTCGTTTCCAAATCTGCCCAGTTCCTTTATTCTCCAGATTTCCTTGATTTCCGACTCTGCCAAAATCCACCCCTCCTGGAGAGCTTCCCCCCACCTCTGTGGTGGGGATCTGTGCCCTTGCCTATGTGCCCCACCCTTCCTCTGCCATCTTGCCCTGCCCCTCCTCCCCTGCCCCTCTCACCCCTCCTCCTCCCCCTGCCCCTCCTCCCCTCCCCTCCTCCCCCTGCTCACACCCTACACACCTGTCTCTGCTCAGGCCTGTGCACTGTCCCTATCTCATTTATTCTAATTCAAACTCTCATCAGCCCCTGTGACTTCAGGGGACACTGCCATTCAGTGACCTTCAGATTCTTTTCTCAGATGTCATTCCCCAATCTGTAATTGCCAGATCGCAGTTTCTACAGATCTCTCCACCCATCACTGAATGCACCACAAATAAAATTCGCCTTCCTGTCTTCCTCTGCACCAGAGCAGATGCCATTCCTGAAATGTCTTCAGAATCTTCTAATTCCCAGAGAAGTAATTTGAAGATTCTTTTAACATTTTCTTCTCTTTCCCTTTGCCATTGCCTAGGATTGTTAAAAGAAATAAGTGGAATATATGTGGAAATTTGAATTAAGGCGAACTGTTACTGTTATTTCTTTATCTTGTAATCACGTAATCTTGCTAGTTTCTCCTGTGTGTTATGCTGGGTCTAAATCTAGAGCCAGACTTCTTGGGTTCAAATCCCTTCATCTCCRTCTCCTTGTATTCAACATGGGCACAGGAAGGGTGCTTTCATAACCAGCTGGCCTGTAGGGCTACCTTAATTAGTCCCCTTGAAGTAAAGTGCTCAGGGCAGGGCTTAACACCTAGTAAAAGCTTAATGACCAACCCTCCCGCTCCCTGGTTGGTGGTTTCTAGTTTTGAGGGTCATAACTCACATCACAGTCCTGAGACATTGCCCCTGCGTTCCCTCTACAGGCAGGGATTGGAACCTGTTCCATTCACTGTTTTCTCCAACTTCTCCACCTCTGGGGCCCAGATTCTTTCTCCTTTGGTACTGGGGACTGAACTCGGAGTCTGGAGATACACTGCCACTGAGTTACACCCTCAGCCCTTTTTATTTTCTTATTTTAAGACAGGGTCACACTAAGTTGCTGAAGCTGGCCTAACCTTGCCACCCTCTTCCCTCAGCCTCCTGGCAYCGCAGGCATTGTCAGCTCTTGAGCTAAATTCCGTAACCTGCCTCCTTTATTCGGCTTCTCCTCACTCTAGCACATTCTATGTGTCAACAGTCTTTGAAAGGTTGCCTCTAATTAAAACAAGATCAAGTTTCCTGGCCCGAGAATTCAAATCAGTTTGTGTTATGTTTGAGATTCTCCAAAGAGTATACATGACCTCACATTTTACTTTGACTTTCTTCTTTTGCCGTAGGTCAGAACTCTCCCTCAGTGAGCTGGCCAAGCCCCTCACTCTCCTTCTCTCTGGGCTTCTGCTTGCACCTGGATATCGTTCTCAGTCTGTTAGACGAAGCTTCCCTTCTAGCAGCCCAGTTAGCTCCACTCTGCATGTATCTCCCTTAGAAGAGCAACTCAGAGCCCTCCCTCTCTGTTCTCTGTTCTCCTGTGCTCATGGCAAGCCCTGGGCATTTGGCATTTGCCTGTGCTTGCCCAGGTGGGCTGGATGAGAAGGAAGAGGAGCTGAGGCTGGCACATGGAGGTTTGACATCCACCCGAGGCTGAGAGTGGGAGCACAAGTTAACCAGCGTCTCAGAACCCTGGGTCTTCGTTGGTAAAAGTGCCCCTCGGCGGTGTGGGTGCTACTCATTCTCATCATCTGTTCATCCACTGAGGGCTGCTTAGGTTGTTGGTAAATCTTGCCGACTGTGACTCGTGTTCCCTGAACATGGGGTCCTAATATCTCTTTGAAATAGTAATTTCAGTTCTTCTGCATAAATACCCAGAGTGGGATTGAGAGCTCCTGGTGGTTGCGTTTGCAATTTTTGGAGGACAGGTCACACTTTCCGCAGAACTGTGTGGTGCTGCGTTCCCGCGGAGCAGGAGGCTTCTGGCTTCTCCTGTCCCCTTCCATGTTTGCTGCCTGCTGTTTTCTTGGTAAAAGCCACTTTCACAGGCTTGAGGTGGCATATTACTGTGGTTCTGATTTGCATTTCCCCGACTATTGGTGACATTGAGCATCTGTAAACGGAGCTGTTGGCCATTTTTATGTCTTCTTTAGAGAAGTGTCCATTTGGACCCTTGGACTATGTGCAGGGTGAGATCAGGTTCCAGCTCATTCTTTTTAAGCCAGTTTTCCCAGCACCATTTGTTGAAGACACTAGTCTTTCCCTATTGTACTTCTCATCACCGTTGTCAAAGATGAGCTGATGTATTTCTGAGCTTCTTACTCTTGACCTTGGCCTGTTGTCTGTCATGCAGTCTTAATCAGTGACTCCCCAGAGTGACTCAGAGTCAGGAAGCATGGGTCCTTACCTTTGTTCTTTCTCAACATTGTTTTGGCTATTTGGAGTCCTTTGAGGTTCCATAGGAATTTAAATTCATTTTTCTATTTCTGTGCAAAAAAAAATACCATTAGAATTTTACTAGGAATTGCACTGAATCTGTGGGCTGCCTGGGCAGGAGGAGGATATTGTAATGTCTGCAATCTTCCGTAGCGTGGGTACGGATGCCTTTCCAGTTGTCTGTCCTATTTCACTTCTTACATCAGTGTTTGTAATTTTCAATGTGCAAATACTTCGCCTCCACAGTGAAGTTTCTCTCCAGGTACAATTTGACATTGTATAGCATCAGAGGAAATGGAAGCCAGAGACACGCTGTGTCACCTGCACACTCTCAGAAGTCTTGAGGACCCTGCTCTTCCTGCTCTGCACCCAGCAGCTCAATGCCCTCTCTCTCTCCACAGGGTGCAAATGCCCTTGTTACCTACGCAATCATCAGTGGGGCTGATGACAGCTTCCGCATCGACCCTGAGTCTGGGGACCTGATTGCGACCAGGCGGTTGGACCGGGAACGTCGCTCAAAATACTCCTTGTTGGTTCGGGCTGACGATGGCCTTCAGTCCTCGGACATGAGAATTAACATAACGGTCAGCGACGTGAATGACCACAYGCCCCGATTCTCCAGGCCAGTGTACTCCTTTGACATCCCTGAAGACACAGCTCCTGGTAGGTGGCAGGTCCCTGGTGCTGGTCTCAGGAGTCACCTTTGACTACAATTAGCACTGTGCTCCATGAGTGCCTCTTCTTCACTGCTTGCTACCAGTTATACAAACATCCGCACTGGGATGGGAATCTTGCAATTAGCTTTCTCTGGTATAATTTCCAAGAAAATTGCTAGATTTTTGAAAGTGAATGAGGTTAGCCATTTGTCTGATTACTAATTTCTGTTTCAGAAAATATTTATGACATGGGTGTTAATTTTTTGGCAACCACAGTTTTGATGCTCTTTTACCACTTTAAAAATGTATGTGATTGTGCTTTTTTTTTTTTTTTTTTAAAGAGCAAAGAGAAACACATGAAAAACTGTTCTTAACAGTTTGAACAATTAGTAGCTCAGTGACCCAGGACAAACAAATTAATTCACTTCTCTTAGCTTCAGTTTCTTCTATAAACTGGGAACCATAATTCCGTTCGGAAATAGTGTAATGATTAGTTTAGAAAGTCTGTGTGAGTGTACTAGGTTGGGGCTTAGGGCTAACTAGGTGCTCAATAAGTATTAAACCTGAATCTTGAACTATAAAGCTACTTTAACCTGAATCTGGCCTCTGCACATCTTATGCTGTGATTGAATCTGAGCATTCAGTGCCAAGCTTCTGTTGTGTGGGAGGCTTCATTGCCATTGTTAKAAATTCTTACCTAAAGTTAAAATTTTATTATGAATTGCATTTAGAAGAAATTGTGTGATAAGGCTTATGATACTCTACAAAGGAAATACACATTTATAGACGTCTCCCTTCCCCTGCAGTCTTTTCTTCTCTCCCTCCAACGAGTCACTCATGTCCATGAAATTCTGATCACATTTATTTCTTGCTGTAAATACAGCTGCGACTACATGAGCTGAACAATGCACAATGTAGAGTCCACATGTGTACATGGAATTCATTGTATTACTTTTACTTTGATTGCGTCAGGTAGAAAAGTAATACCAGAAGTTGGATAATCCCCCAGAACTTTTACACTATTACCTGAGACCCACTGATAATAAAATACGGAACACACGTTACATGTATCATACATGTCACATGCAAACATGTAACATGTAAATGCATGACATACATGTTTTATTAGTATATGTCTTGTTGGTTTCAGGGACACTGTAGAAATYTGAAGAATATTATCTATGCAGTAATTTCGTAGTGGTTCTCTTGTGAAAGCAGTTGACCATATATACACRGGCCTGGCATCTCTGTGTGTGTCCCTACTGTCCTCCTGCTCCCTGAACTCAGACTCCCTCTCTTTTTGGTAGGTTCTTTGGTCGCAGCCATTTTGGCCACAGATGACGATTCTGGTGTGAATGGAGAAATCACATACATTGTGAGTGAAGATGATGAAGACGGCATATTTTTCCTGAACCCAGTTACTGGAGTCTTTAATTTGACTCGAGTATTAGATTATGAAGCKCAGCAGTATTACATCCTCACCGTTCGTGCTGAAGACGGTGGGGGACAGTTTACCACCATCAGAGTTTACTTCAACATTCTGGATGTCAATGATAACCCACCTGTTTTCAGCTTGAATTCCTATAGCACATCACTAATGGAAAATCTRCCTCTAGGATCTACTGTTCTCGTGTTCAACGTCACTGATGCAGATGATGGTATGTGCCTTATAATAACTCCCAAAATCTCATTAAATATCACTGATATTAAATATTTTCTTCATTTCCTGTGTTCAGCTTTTGCAAAATTGTAACTACTGAGGATTTTGAAATTAAATACTTCATCAGTTTTTACTTATAACAGTTACACAACAGAGATTGTATCATTTTGAACTTGTAATTCAGAAAGAATAGGATCTTTGTCCCATATTTTGGTCAAGGTACAGGAAATTGTACCTTTATTTTATTTATGCATTTATTTATTTATTTTTGCCCTAAATTTGTGTCAGTTTTGAAGTTTAGTCATAAGCCAGCATTTATTAAGTTTTTGTTAGGTAAAAGAAGCATTTAGTTTTATGTGCATTATTTTAACTTAAAAAAGGATAAAATCGGGAAACAAAAGAAAACAAAAGCCTTAAAGAAAAATACTTAAGAATAAATCACTAAATGATGTACTTCAGAATGAAAATCAGTAAAGATATTTTAGTAAGTTCTCATGATTTGATCAGAGGATAGCCTTATATTTATTTAACTTCTGCCATATAATCAAATTGAGACTTTGCATAAAGTGTGTGTGTGTGTGTGTGTGTGTGTGTGTGTGTGTGTTTAACTTGTATTTTTAAAAAAGCATCTGCAAACTTTCATTTAAAAGCTGACCCCCTCGGTCTTTGTTCTGAGACCTATTTTGCAAATACAGGCATCAGATAATATAGCACTAAAGATAACACTGTACAGATTTTCAGTTTTGAGCTCAATGATTTGGAAAGTTGTTAGTGTACCTTGTTTTTCTTTCTTTTGGATGCAGCCAAATGTCTTTGGAGTGAATAAAACAAAACCCACTTCTTGAAGTGGAAGTAGATCTCCAGCCTCATGACACCTTAATTTAGAGTTTCCTGGTTGTGATGTGCATGATTCATATCATCTCAGAATGCCATGTTGTCTCAGCATTCATTGTGATCTATATTTAGTTCCCTTTTGGTGGTATCTAGAAATGCCACTTAGATAAGAGAAGTAAAAGGCACAGCTTTTCAATATGTGCTTCAATAAACAAAGTTAGAAATGCTCTCTTTAGCATTCATCAGGTGCATTTTGAGGTTTCTTCCTCTTACACAAACATAGTTGACATTGGACACATGGCTATAGGTAAAAATAGGAGTACCTGTAATAACAATACTACTACTATTGCTACCATCTTGCTAATATAATACAATAAAAACTATATTACCAGATGTTAGTATGCACCCAGTCCTGGTCAAAGAACATTGCACACTCTTTGGGTACCACCTGCCAGGTCTGTAGATTTGCTCCAACGAGATGTGCAAGTACAACCCTGCCTTACCTCACTTTCTGAGGTTGATTTTTCTGCTATGGTAACTTTCAGTTTACCTGTTCCCAGAATATGAACATTTGAAATGCCATTTATACATCCTTCAGTTATTTTTCCTTGTAGCTGTGCTTGATCTTCCCGTAGTTAAGAATTTTCCATGGTATATCTCTGTGATTTATTTATTATTTGCTGGAGAGAGCCCATTGTTTCATAAAATTGTGGGTTTCTCTGGAATAAATTATATTTACCCCCATAACTTAAAATGTGGGTTACTGGGAAAAGAGCAAAAAAGAAAATTTATTTGTCAACAACCTGCTGGAATGTTCCAAGTATGTTGGAGCACAAAATTAACCATGGACTCCAAATCCCTGTTCACGGACTTTTTCCCCCTTTGATTGTGTTGCATAAAAGTTACAAGCTACATTTACCCATTGTTTTAGTTTTGAATACTTTTATCAGTGCAGTTTCCTGTACCTTGACCTAAAATATGGGACAAAGATCCTATTCTTTCTGAATTACAAGACTAATGATAAGGATAACCTTGTTGGTAAAAATTACTGAGTTTCACCAAATACTTCTTAAATATCTCACAATATGATTTAGGCATATTTTTTTGGAGGGATGGTACCAAGAATTGAACTCAAGGGCACTTGACTCCTGAGCCACATCCCCAGCCCTGTTTTGTACTTTATTTAGAGACAGGGTCTCACTGAGTTGCTTAGCACCTTGCCATCTCTGAGGCTGGCTTTGAACTTGTGATCTTCCTGCCTCAGCCTCCCAAGCTGCTGGGATGACAGGCACCCGCAGCTGATTTAGTCATTTTTAAATTAGTAAATTAATCTTAATCTCTGATCAACAGGTTCCTGAGAAGGTCATATTGCCATATTAGCTGAAGGGGAAGACATGAAAATGGATTTAACATTTGCTGTTACCTGTAACCTCACTCTAACAGAGTTTAACCTGTAACACTTTAGGTGATGAGACCATTTCATGAGAATAAGGCCCAGGTTTCACTATTTTCATAAAATAGGTAATAGCTGTATTAATCTCAATGTCTCCATGCAATGATAAAGAATTATATTGAGGAAAACCACTGTAAAATGGGGACATCATGAAAAGACCCCAGGTTTGATTATTACTTTCTTATTCTATAAACCAGACATATTTTAGAATATCAGGAAGTCATATGAGAATATGAGGATGGTGACGTAATTTTGGCTGAACAACTTTCCCCATCTATGCTCGATGCACAGTGCAGACCTTCGGCATCGCAGATGGGTTGATGGGTTCCATGCCCGGTGCCCTGCAGGCACTGTTAGGACCTGCTGCACGAAGATGGTGCATTTCCACGTGCTGCCACAGTGGACAGCCTGGCCAACATGAGTTCTTTGTGAATAAAGGCATGCGTTTTATCACAGAGCGACATGTATCTAGTTCTTGCATGTATTTAATCATTTAATTCTGAAGTGTTTGCCTATTCCTATATTTTATGTGCCATGATCCTTAGAACTAAATTCTTCACTGAAATGCAAATCTCTTTGTTTCCATATATAAACACACACACACACACACACACACACACACACACACAAACCAATAAATCTGCCATGAAGAATCATAGAACTAAATGACTTTCAGAAAATTGAACACAAATGGTTTGAAATGTGGGCTGTTTTTAGTTTAAAGATCTTTGGGGCTACAAAAGCCCACTAAATTCAAGTTTCAACACTTATGGAGAGAATTTAAAATCTAAAAATAATAGATCTACTTTTTCATGATTCAGATGTTTGATGAAAGGGCAGAGGGAGGGATGATCCAGCTTTCTGTTTTTCAGTGTGCTGCGACTGTGGAGGGGGATTGTCGGTGTTGCTGTGCCCGTGTGTGTTTTCTAGATGTGGGGCATGTTTCCAAAGGCACTTATTAGACTTGTCAGGAATGACAAGTTTCCTCTTCATAGGAAAGTAAAGGTGGACAGTTTCTGAGGCCTGTACTTCAGCAGTTAGTGCTCAGTTCTTGAGATAAGAGCTGTTTCTTAGTTTGCAGTATTTTTTACAAAAATAGTTTGTTTTTTTTCCCAGTGATAAGAGCTGCTACCTTCCGTTCATTTCTGTTGTTGTGAGCTAACATATTCATCATGATTTGTTGAGTGGAAGATCACAGTTTTCTTCTTCCTAACTCTAGGCAGTCTCCGACCCCTTTCTTCCCCCAAGCAAACACCCCACCAGCTTTTCCCATAGGAAAGGTCCTGTTCCTGTTTACGACGAGGCTAGAAAGTCCTGGTACTGTGTTCTGCTTTTGCCTCTGTCATTTTGTTGTTTACCTAAGGAAGGAGCAGGCCTGGTGGCCCTGTGCTCAGAGCATCCCTTCATTAGCTCACATTTCAGGGGATTTAGGGAGGGACAGCTCAGGCCTCACAGCCATGTGGACTGTCGTCGGTATTCCTCATTTCTCTGAACCTTGGTTTGGAAGATTTCATAGATCTTCATGTAACAATTCAATCCCTTTTCTCATTGGTATCATTTTATTTTTATTCAGTTTTTTTTTTTCATAACTACCTATCTTAGTATCTGTGTTTGGGTTTTTAAAGGAAGAAGCGTTCAACATTCACTGCTGGACTATGTCACAGGAGAGACAGAGAGATGGCCTCAGAAAGAATAAAAATTAGTTATTCTGTACACACAGCTCCTCCTCCGTATAAGATYGTCAAGGGTAAAATGTTCCACCAACATTGATGTACATTTTTATCTCCAAACCTGTGGAGTTTTAAGAGGAGGAGGTGAAGTAGGCTGTTGACCTTTCTCTATCCTGATCTTAAATTCTTTTTGTCCCCTGCTGGTGAATTGACCTGTGGACCCCATTAGCATTATTTATTCATATTTCCCTGATCTTCAAGCTCCTAAGCATTCTGAACTCTATAACCTCAGCTTTGTGCATTTCTGACTAGGCTTAAACTGTAAAGATTAAATATTGCAACTCATAATGAGAAGAGGAACTACCTTTCCAAAGATTTGCACCAGATTGTTCACCCTGAAGTTTGGGGTCAATAAATCAGTTCTTGAAAGTTATGTTCACAAATGTTTTTTTCCCCTCTGCATCAGCACATAGGCAAAGGACATTAGAGACCATCAACTCACAGGAAAGGAGTGATATGGTGTTATTGAAAAGAACAGGCGCTACCCAGTAGGAGGGAGAATGTCATCCCTCAGGTAGCCACCTCTGTGAGGAGCTCCATGAGATTCAAGAGAGGGCAAAAGCTAACCRGATACTCACAGAATCCTGAGAAAAAGCATGTTTGGGAAAAGAACAAAAGAGTGATTTCATTTCTCTGGGACCCTTGGCAAGAGCAGATGTCATTTCTGCAGGTGGAACTCAGAAACCTAAATATTTGACTAACTCGTGGAGTCTGGATGCTGTTTGTAAGCAATTCATGTTTATCAATAGATCGTCCCTAGCCCCCGAGTTTAAATCTTTATTAGGGGTGGACTCTCTTGTGCCTCAATCCCTAATCATCACAATATCCTGTAATAGCATGAGGAATATTCCTCACATTTTAAGGGCAAAATATAAAAAGGTGCATGGCCTTGAGTGCCACTATTTTGAGGCAGAAAATCTGACTTTCTTTCTGTCTCCACTRCTTATTTTCTCTTCACCTTTCTGCTATTTAATGAAAAATAACATAGGTTGGTGTATTCTCCACATCGTCTTTACTATCAGAAGCTCTGCAATCATGTTCTGAAATAAGAATTCAGATATTTTTAAAGTAAAAAAGTGACACATATTCCTTGGGGAAAAAAAAGAGATATTATCTAAATGTGGCCCCATAATAACATGAACATTTATGCTTCAAGAATTCAATGCATAATTTTACTGCTAACAATTCCTTTAAAGAATACTTTTAAATATGTATAATAAAATTTGAGAGACAGTTATTTTCTCAAAGGCCATTACTTGGCCAGATGCTTAATAGGAATTAAAAAGTATTTATTGGTTCTGACAAGAAATGTAAAAGTAGACTTAAAGCATCCATGACTAATGCCATACATCAGAACATTTTATGACTCCTCTCTGAAATCGATGTCAGCTTCAATAAATTACTGAAGTTATAAACGTCTGAGTAATAATACAGATTGTGGCACTGTTAGTGTCGGACTCTGGGGAATTATGTGATAAAAACAAGGAAATGTATAGAAAAATATCTGCTCTCTGGAATGTTTTTCTCCTCTCTTGTAATTTAATGTTTCAACATTGTAGTAAAGAGCGTGCCGTATATGGATCATGGGTTCACCAGATTGTAAACATCTTTTCAGATCAAAAGTTAACAGGAAGGGAGTGATGTGTATGTATTATTTACTAAAAATAATTTCACCAAGTGTGTCCAATTTTTCTACCATATAGCAAACATGCAGTAATAATCTGCCATCAGCACGCATTAAGTGCTTTTTCCCTTTAATTTCAGGTGTCAACTCCCAATTGGCTTACAGCATTGCTTCGGGTGATAGCCTCGGGCAGTTCACAGTGGATGAGAAAGGAGTGCTGAAAGTCCTGAAGACGCTGGACCGAGAAAGTCAGTCCTTCTACAACCTGGTTGTGCAGGTGCACGATCTGCCGCCGCTCCCGGCCTCCAGGTTCACGAGCACTGCCCAAGTCTCCCTCATTTTGTTGGACGTAAACGATAACCCACCAGCGTTCCTTTCCCCTAAGTTGACCTACATTCCAGAAAACACCCCTATTGATACCATTGTTTTCAAAGCTCAAGCCACGGATCCAGACAGTGGCCCCAACAGCTATATAGAGTACACCCTGCTGAACCCCCTGGGGAACAAGTTCAGCATCGGGACCATTGATGGTGAAGTGAGGCTCACCGGGGAACTGGACAGAGAAGAGGTTGCTAACTACACTCTAACAGTGGTGGCTACGGACAAAGGTCAACCTCCTCTCTCTTCCTCTGCAGAGGTAGTAGTTATGGTCCTTGACATCAATGATAACAACCCTGTTTTTGCACAGTCTTTGTATAAAGTGGAGATCCACGAGGACACACTCACAGGAACAGACATCGTGCAAGTCTTTGCAGCCGACGGAGATGAAGGCACGAACGGACAGGTGCGCTATGGCATTGTGGATGGCAATGCCAATCAGGAATTTCGGATTGATTCCGTCACAGGTGCCATCACCGTGGCGAAGCCTTTGGATAGAGAGAAGACCCCTATGTACCTCTTAACTGTTCAGGCTACAGATCGGGGAAGCACYCCCAGGACCGATTCCTCCACGGTCAGCATCGTCTTGCTGGACATTAATGACTTTGTTCCTGTGTTTGAGCTATCTCCGTATTCTGTAAATGTCCCTGAGAATTKGGGGACACTGCCTAGAACAGTCCTTCAGGTCAGTATATTTAAGCATGAGAAAGATTGCATTCACTCTACGACATCTAATTGGAAAGCTGGTCCTAGACAGTGTTCACACCCCCCGCCCCCCATTCTCTCATTCTCGTCCATAAATGCTTAGTTGCAGATAGACCAGATTTGGAAAAGGAAAGCTTACATGAGTCAAAAGGAAATAGACTGAAATGTTGCATCTCAGCCCTGTTCTTTTGTGTATATTCCTGTTGCACATATTTATATATTTGTGTTGCTTTGAATTTCGTTTCACATGTCAGTAACAGCTGCACACCATGGTAAAGTAAAATGATATCGAAGTTGGAAAAGTTTCTTACCAACAGTGTTCTCCCTTCCCTCCTCAAAACTTCAACTACCCAGCGAGACTGATGTTAGTGCTGCTGACACATGGACAGGCATCCCCAGGGGTTCCTGAGGCCAGGTTCTTGGGGTCCTGAGAGAATAACTGAGTGAGTTGCAGGCGGTTAGCAGCAAGGCAGAAGGTTACTGAAAGCAAAACACACTCTGGGAGCACAGAGTGGGCAGAGCTGCCAAATAGCCCAAGGCCCATCTTCACAGTGGGGCTCACTTTCATTAGGGTGTTCTAGTTCTCCTTCTTCTCTGGGTGGCTGGGGTTGATTGGCACCTTGACTGACAGCTGAATTTGACATATTTAGTTCTCTATTACCCATGCTAAGTTTCTTTTACCCCCAGAAAATTCACATGGGGGGGGGAGGGAATGTGATGCTGATGTATGCTGACTAGCAACAAGTTAACCTTGGGTCAGTCCCTTGGGCTATTGTGCCTGCCCAAGATTGAGGACTTTCCCTCTAGAGACTTTCATTCCCCTGGGGTCCCCTAGCTTCCTCCCTTAAGCAGTAGCTTGGCCCAGTCTCCCCTCACTTCTGGCCAGTGTGGGGAGGGGCTGAGGGCCTAAGATGTGGTGGCCTTCTCCACCCCTTCCCCATGTCCTGTCTCTTACCTAACATTAACAATTTCTGTGGAGCCTTCCAAAATGTTAGACATTAATTTTATGCATATTTCAACACAAATAGACACACATGATATATACTATTCTTCACCATTTTTATTTTTTACTTGAGAGCTTGAAACCCTCTTAGGAATAGTTTTGTATGACTTAACCTCATTGTCTTTTCACTGATACATTTTATTTCGTGGTGTGTATTAGGATAGGTTTGCTCACATTAATGACGCATCCTGTTCTCCCCTGTAGGTGGTGGCAAGGGATGACGATCAAGGATCCAATAGCAAACTCTCATATGTTCTAGTTGGTGGTAATGAAGACAATGCTTTTACTCTCTCGTCCAGTGGAGAACTTAAAGTCACACAGAGTCTGGACCGTGAAACGAAGGAGCACTTTGTCTTGACGGTCACAGCTACAGATTCAGGTGAGTCCAATGTAATTTGATTCAACTGTGAAAAATGTGTTTATGAGTAAATGAAAATATTCTCGTTCATCCTTACATTAGACATTGGTTGAAATCTACTAATGCTCGAAACACTTGTTCTACCTACATGATCAACACCACACAAGTGACTTCAGAAAATGCTCACGTCTGTGGTCAGGACGGAAACACATGAGAATTAAAGCTCTGTTTCTGTAAAGCAGAGCAAATCCTTGTTCTGGAACCCACCTGAGTACCTCTGGGTGTGACCTACTCTACCACCTGAGTGAGGAAGCACTCACAGAGCTTCCCCTTTGAAAACCTGCAGATGGTTTGATGGTCTTGGGGACAGGAGAGCAGGTCTGGGGGACCTCCACTTCATTACCCTCAAGGACCAGCTGTGCTGTAACAAGGCTGTAGCATTTGATGAGCTTCCTAGAGCTTGGGAAAGTGTCACAATGGTTGGGCTCTCATTAGCTTAGCACAGCAGCGGGGTGCCCTAGGAGTCACGGAAAGCAATGCACATCAGACTTTGGCATCTGCAGGAGGCAATGAAGTGCAGTTCATATTTTTAAAAAGCAACAGTGCTGTTCACACTATTTGTTTTATGCATATTGTTACAAAAGTAGATTGTGGAGTACAAATTTTTCTTTACCATTTTTAGTTTTGATGGTATTTATAAATACACAAAGCTACTAATTTAAAATTGAAGCAACCAAAGTGTAACCAAGACTCAATATGCCTTCAACAATGTAGGAATTGCTTAGATATTTGTTGAATAAGCAAATTTAAAAACACTAATTCCAGGGGATTGGTGAATTATGGAATGTTTTTCTTTAACATGTTTTATGGAAATAATGTCACAATTCAGTATTTAGTATTAAATTGTTAATTATGTTGAAGTATTTAAGAAAAAAAATGTTGAAATAGTCTTGAGCCAAAGGATATTTGTTGGACTTTCAAATGACTGAAATTATATATATATATATATATGTATATATATAACAGGCATATATGCATATACCCATGTGTGTATGCACACATACATGGGTATACGCATATATGCCTGTTTTATATATATATATATATATATATACATATATATATATATATACACATATATATATATATATATATATATAAAATACATATTTTATATAATAGAGATACATATGTAAGAATAGTTGTAGATATGTGGACACGCAGATAAAACAACATTCTGAGATTTCAAATAGTTATTTCACTGTTGTTGAAATGTTTTTTATTAATGTAATGATCTAAAATTTTGGTAATGTGTTAAAAATTTTACAGGTTATAATGTGTTGTGTCATGGAGCTATTCATAAAATAGCAGGAGATTTTGAGTTTACAGGTAACGGATTTAGTACACTAAGTATTCCACAACAGTGCTCCTGATTTTTAACTGTGGTCTTATTTTCCCTCTTGATCTAGATATGTATATACATGTAAATGCCTCTCGGAAGAACAATACTTTCAGTATATTTGAAGGCAGGAATTACCACATTACATTAGTGCAAACTATAAAACTCTGAGGAATGATGAGCATAATGTGGTGTGAGAGCCATGTGAAATTTAACCATGTTGATCTGAACGTGGTTCTTCGTGTGTGTTGTCAGTATTGTGCTTTGTGGTCAGTCATTAGGCATTAAGGGCAACCATGCTTCTGTAAAAGTGTGGTCACTTCTGTGTTGCCCACATCAGTCAAGCATACCAAAAGTCATCTGGAAAAAAGAGAGAGTATACTGAGTAGATTGCAAAGTCTGATGTTTAGAACTAAGGTTAAAGTACTTCAGCTCTCGTCACTAATCCCAACTGAAATCATATGGACATCTCTAGGAGACACCAATACAAATACACTTTGTGGAGTGGCAGGGAGAAATAGAACCAGGAATCCAGCTCCTGAAGGTGCCAGTGGCTGTAAAGCTCGCTGCACAGAGATGAGTCACAATGCTAGTCTCCCAGGTAGGGAGGAGAAAGGACTGTGAGTGTCAAGGTGTGCGCCTGGTAGCCTGAGATTTCCAGGGAATAGCACATAGAAGGTTCCTGTCAGAGAATTTGGACTTCAAACTCTTCTAAGTCAAAAGCTGTGGCAGAGAAAGAACATAGGCATGTAGACAAGAGTGCGTTTTTAAACCAAATATTCCTAAGCGTTAAAAATCTTACTGTGTAACTGAAAAGCAAAGGAAGGATACTGTGGAGGGAAGGGAACGATGATTTATATAGAGAGCCATCTGGGGTGGTCAGTGTGCCAGGTTTTGCAGACATTTATCCATTTCTACAGAGGATATTTTTGTTATCATCTCAATTACCCAAAGACTTAAGTGTTTCTATTTCTTCTTCAAATATGTAACCCAAACTCAGAGTAGTTAAATGATTTGCTCAGAATTACATAGCTAATAAATAACAGAGTAGATTCAGATCCCAGCACCCAGCACATCCGACTTCGTAGTTCAAGTTGTGATGGAGGTTTCATCATGCAGGTTGTTTTAGCCAGGKTTTTGTTTGTTTTTGACACTGTGACCAAAGGATCTGATGAGAATAATGTAGAAGAGGATTTTATTTGGGCTCTTGGTTTCAGAGATCTCAGTTCATGGACAGTCAACTCCATAGCTCTGGGCCCAAGATAAGGCAGAACATCACGGCACAAGAGCATAAAGGAAGAAAGCTACTCAAAATATCAGGAAGCAGAGAGATCTATACTCACCAGGAGCAAAATGTAAACCCCAAAGGCACACCTCCAGTGACCTACTCCAGCCACACACTACCTGTCAACTGTCACCACCCAGTTAATCCCTGTCAGTGGGTGGATTCACTGATTAAATCACCTCTCATAACCTAATCCTTTTATCTGTGAACATTCTTCACTGCCTCACTCGTGGGTTTTTGGGGGACACCTCATATTTAAACMATAATATTTTACCCCTCCACAAAAGCTCATGCCCATTTCACAATGAAAAAACACATTTAGTCCATTTCTAAGAGTTCTTACAATCATAACAGTCCCAASGTTGCCTAAACGTCCAAGGCCCAGATCTTAGATGAGACCCATATAAGACTGAGAGGAAGGATCAAAACAAGGTTGCATCCAACATAGGATGGCACAGAGTGAGCGTTTTCATTCCAAAAGGGAGAAATAGGGCATAGAAAGAGGGATGAGGACCAAAGCTACACCAACCTGGTGGGCCAATGAGGCCTGTAGCTTCATACCTAGGCTATGTGGCACGTGGCTTTGTATATTCTCCCCCAGGGCTTGTGTGGGTCCACCCCTAGGGTCTTGCTGGTGTATCCCATAGGGTCTCTCTCCTACCTTGTTTCTCCTTGATTCCTGGCATCTCTTAATATTGGGGGTCTCCACTCCAGCTTCAGTTTCTTCTCCAATTTTCTTGCATCAGCCTTTCCGGGAAAGCCTGCAGAGACTCTGTTTTCTCTACATTTCATCTGGTCTTCCGGGACTTCCTGTGAAATCTTGGTGGAAGCCTTCATGACCCACTACCCCAGCATCCTGCATCCCTGCTGAACTATGCTGTTGCCACCAGGGCCTGCCACCACATTCACCAGTCGCCATACCTCCTGAGGCCATGGCTGTAGCAAGCTCTCAGTRCCTGGCCAGCTAGGCTTGGTGAAACAACTTCCTAGGCCCCTGTGCAAGCATGGTGGGTGCCCCATACTCTCTGCTCAAAGAGRTTTTTACTTTTACACCCTTTCAGCTGGATATGGGTGTGGTATTTCCAATTTCTGAGAGGCACTCAAGTCATCTTTCCTATTATTTCCGGGTAAAGTTTTCAGTATTTCTTTAGCAGTTGTAACCTCTTTAACAACCAGAACTTCCTTAGCCACAGTTTTACTTGTACTTTTCTGGCCAAACTGCAAGTTTTTCAAATCTTTACATGCTGCATTTTGCTCCTGATTTTCATAGAAAACTTGGCTAAAAACATCCAGCAACATTCGTGCCATATCCTGAAGGCTGTGCTGCCTTGAAATTTTCAGATAAATTTGTCCAACACTTGTAAATTCCAACTCACAGAAAGTCTGAAGACAAGGACAAAATTGAGAACAACTTCTCTGGCCGAATGTAACATGAATGACCCAGGGTCTAACAGCCCGTRGGGCCCTCCTCCTCGGAAACCTCACTAGCCCAGTCTTTACTGTCCACTGTTCTGTTGGCATTCTAATCTTTTAGCCTCCACCAGAATCATCCGTGAAGCTCACTCACAACATTTTAAAGCATTCCCAGTTTGCATCTCTAAATTTTTTAAAAGCTCTGCCCCTGAAAACCAGCTCCAAAGTCTTCTGAACCACACGGTCAGATTAGTCACAGCAGTGACTCCGCTTCTCCGTATCAATTTCTGTTTTAGTTAGCTTTTTCGTCACTGTGACCAAAAGACCTGACAAGAACTTTTTTTGAGGTGGAAGAGTTTATTTTGACTTAGGGTTTCAGATGTTCAGCTCAAAGATGGCCACTCCATAGCTCTGGGCCCCAGGTGAGGCAGAACGTGGGGTGGAAAGGTTAACAGAGGAAAGGTACCGGAGACGTGGCAATCAGGAAGCAGAGAGAGCTTTGGTCAMCAGGGACAAAACAGAGACCCCAAAGGCCCACCACCAGCGACCCAACTTCTCCAGCCATACCCAGCCTGCTACAGCTACCACCCAGTTAATCAATATCAGTGGATTAATCCACTAGTAGATTATAGCTTTCATATTCTAGTAGTTTTATCTTAGATCATTCTTGCTTTTGAGGAAAACCTCATATTTAAATCACAGCATAGGTCAAGGAGAATTTGGAAAAAAATTCACTTCAGCAGTTCTCTTATTTGCAAAGCAATCCCCATAATAATGCAAAGATAGAAATCTGAATTTGAACTGATCTTATTTAAATTCTGGTTCTGTCATTCATTTCTTTGTGATTCCAGTGAATTACAACATTTCTCTCAACTTCATTCTTTCCTCTGTAAAATGGGGTAGTAGCAACCAGGAAGTATTTAT